TTCTCGCACGCGCTGTTCCCAGAGGCGTTAGCTAGTAGAGGCACTCGGGCACCAGCTTCGCCTCCCTCTTCTCGCAGCGGCTTGCCCCGATCCCAACGCTGTAGCTGTCGACATCGGGCTCTGCCTTCGCTTCCCACTTCTCGCAGGATGGCCGCGGCAGAACATTGCTCGCTTTTCTCACCCGCGCTGTTCCCAGAGGCGTCAGGTAGAAGAGACACTCGGGCTCCAGCTTCGCCTCCCTTTTCTCGCAGGCCCTCCTTCTCGCACGGACGACCCCCAGCGTTGCAGCTGATCGTGGCCCACCCGCGCATTTTCACAGCGCCAGCGTCCGCTGCCACTGCGCGCTCCCTTTCTCGCACGGATTGCCCCCAGCGTTGTAGCTGATCGTGGCCCACCCGCGCCTTCGTCCCTGTCGCAGCGCCAGCTCTGGCTGCCACTGCTTGCTTTCTCGCAGCGTCAGCTCTGCCTGCCACTGCTGGTCTTCTCTCACGGCCTGATCCCTTACGCTGTATAGCTGATCACGACTCTGTTGTCCCCGCACTCTGCCCGCGGCGACGCATCGGCTGGCGCCCCGGTCTGCCAGGAGGTGGAGGAGGGTGGAGACGTAGAGGAGGAGGAAGGGGCGGGGGGGGGCGGGCATCCGGGCAGCTGCGCGTTCGCCTGATCTCAGCGTTGTAGCTGATGACGTGGGGTTCCGCGCTGCTTCTCCATGGCTCGGGCGCGCAGCGCCACTTCGAAGTTTGCGCGCCGCATCGTCCAAGGGGCCCGGTGCAGGGGGGGGCCGCTCGGACGCGAAATGGCTTGAGCCAAAATGGATTGAGCCAAAATGGCTACGGCGCATTGATGTGGGAAGCGGGAGGCGGTAGGGAGAAGGAGAGGATGTTCTGGGAAAACAAGAACCCCACTCAGGATGTGGGGGAAAGAAGGATCCACAATGGCTCCAATGTGGGTTCAAATATACCCCCGAATTAAAAGCGCAGCGCGGGACATACATGATGAAACGTGACACGGGCGAGGAAACATGGGCGGACAAACGGGCAGTGTCTGCAACGACCCTGGGTATCGAGGCAGCTAAGACATGGTTACGTGCGTTTACATGTTTCCTTAACTTTTGGTGGTCTGTGGTAACTGGTTGATTACTGCTTGGTTGCAGTATTGGTTACGAACGGTTGCCAGCAACGCGTTGTCGGCTACGCAACCGTAGCGCACTCGATGCGCATCTGCGGATAGATGCTCACGACCAAAGACGGCCGTCAAGCAGGGTAACAGTCCGCGCCAGAGCGTGCCGGAGCGCCCCCGGAGCGTGCCGGCAAGCGCTCTGCGAGGGCCGCGGCGCCAGGGTGCGAGGAGGGAGGTGCCCGCGCCCCGGCAAGCCTCGAGGGGCGCGCCCGGGGGGCCAGGATGTGCCCTGGGACATCCTCGCGCATGTCACCGAGCGCGCTCCACTGCTCGCAAAGTCCCTCCTCGCAAACGTCCGAAAACGCACATTTGCTTCGATGCAACTTCTGGCAGATCCCCCCCGGCGGGTCCAGGCCATTTGCGAGTAGTGTTTTTGCGAGTCGTGGAACGCGCTCGTCTAGCCTGGAACACGGGATCCGACGCTCCAAAAACAAATGGGAGCAGCGGCGGGGTTGTGACGGTTTTTGGCCTCCAGGGGCCGCCAGGGGTCCTCGCCGGGCCTCGGGAGCGTCAAATAATTATTCGTGACGGCGAACTGGCCCCGGGGAAGTGGTCCAGACCTCCGGGCCCAAAAAAAGTTGTAGCGGCCGGACGTTTGGGTACAAACATCACAAGGCAAGGATTTGGGCAATTACTGACGCTTCGCGCACCCCCCCACCAGCCCATCCAGAAGCAGATCGCCAGGCGAGTTGCCTTGATCCGGGAAGTGTAGAAGAGGGCAGTGCAGGAACCGCCTTGGAAGCGTTTTCTCGGAGGTCCCTTAGAGCCATCTTGGGGCTCTCTTGGGGTCCTCGCAGAGCCTCTTGGGGCACTCTTAACGCCCTCTTGGGGCTCTCTTGGGGCCTTCTTTGGGCCATCTGGGGGCTGTCTGGAGGTCTCTTGGGGCCGTCTCGGGCCCCATGGGTCAAAAAGAGGGGGTGATTAATTCAGGCCCTTGGGCCATTTTGGGGCCATGTGGAGGTATCAAAAGCCAATCGGAAACGAAAATATGAGAATGCAAACAAATCTGATGTTCCAAAGGATTTGGAGCTATTTTCGCTTTTTTAGGAGGTCCTTGGAGGGCTCGTCGAGCACTTGAAACCGTCTTGGTGCCGTCTTGAGTCCTCTTGGATGTGTATCGAAGGTTATCTTGACCCATCTTGAGTTATCTGGAGCAATCTTGGGTGCCATCTTGCGCTCTCAGAGGCCCTCTTGAAGCCATCTTGGGCCCTCTTGGGCGAGGTGCGCCGCGCGTGCCAGGGGCGCCACGCGCGCCAGGCACCCCTGGGGCCCGAGCGTGCCAGGCACGCCTGGTGCGCCAGATGCGACGCGTGCTCCGAGTGCGCCAGGTGTGCCGCACACTCCAGCCGCGCCAGGTGCGCCGCGTCCGGGGCACGTGCAGAGTGCGTCAGGTGCGCCTGAGCACGTGACAGCACACATCGGGAAACATGTCGGCCCCCGCCATC